ACTTTGCGATCACGGCAGCATTTCACTCAGCCCATCGTTTTCTGCTCAGAGGAGGCGAGGTTGGTGTTTTCCACTGCCAAGCTGCATTTACTGCTTTTCCTCTCGGAGAGCATTTTACATCAAACTGCTACGTCTGTCTTTGCTCGCATTCGTTGCTCCTTTGGTGGCATTTTGCAACTTTTGAACCGGCGTTACTGAACCCTCCTGCCCTGTGACAAACCTCGGGGCAGCGGCTGCCAGAAGATGCGCTGAGCCGGGAGACTTGGCTTGCTCCAGGCTTTTCTCCCGAAGCACCTCGTGCCTTCGTGTAGCATCAGCGTTGGCTCTCCAGAGCCGTACAGCCAGAGTTCGCGGGGTGGCGTTGGGAATATTTTTTTGCTGAGCTGAAGCACGCTCTCAGTTGCACCGTAGCGTTTTGGAATGACGCTGCTGGTGGCGATGGAGCCAAGTCCGCAGCTACACCGAGGATGAAGGCTCGGCTTGGGTGTTTGTCCTTCCTCCTCTTTCACGGAGTTTGGGAGGGATTTGGAAGACGCTGGAAATCCTCTGCCCAGAGAGGGACGGGCAGCTCTTGGTTCCATTCAGAAAGTAAAGGTCAGGAATGCTTCCCTTTTCCACTTGCAGGCGTTTAAGAAAACTTTCTGTGCTGTCAAAAGGGTGCCTGAGTATTTTTTCAGGCACAGCACAGGGAACAGTGCTGGGGCATGGGGTAGGAAGCGGGGTCCCGCATGGGTTGTGGCTTTTTCACTGAAGGCTTTGAGCAGCATTAAAAATTCAGCAGGGGCGGGTGATTTATATTCCGAGAGTGATCCTGCTGTGCTGTTTGCAAGGTGTATCAGTATGCAAAATACGGCTCCGGCGCCTCGTTCCTGTGTGCCCTTTCTGGCTGTAAATAGGTTTTATGTCAGTGTGTGTGTCTGGAGATGGATTATTGGAGCTGGACAGGGGTTGAATGTTTTCTGTCCAGACGGTGGTGGTCCCACAGCAAGTGGAAATCTGCGATGCTGGTCCTCAGTCGCCTTCCCAAAGAGTACTGCCGGAGGTCAGATGTACGGGTATGCGATGCTGGTTACTGTTCAGGCTCCCTCCAGCCGTGGCAGAGCATCCGACAGACAGTTTGCTAAATCCCGAGGTCTTTTCCATCCATTTCAGCGTAGCAGGTGAAGGGGGGTAAGGCTGGGTGGTGCTTGGAGTCTGCTGCGCCAGTTGTGGTGTGGGGAGTGGGACCTCCCTGCAGGGAAGGGCTGTTTGCCTACGGCGAGCAGTTCTGGGGCTGTACTCCTTGCTGGTACCTTGTAAGGAGCGTATTTATTCACAAGCATTACCTTTCAAGCCCGTGGGTGAAAGTTGGGTCATCTGACTTACTCTTTTTGCAGTGTAATTTTTTCCAAGCCCAATACTCTGTTGCTGTGATACTGGCCAGAAAGCAGCTCTAAGAGAAGCCTCTTTCCACCTCTGCAACTGCAAAGATGACACAGGCTTCCGCTCGGTCTCTATTTTGAAGTAATACCCATGGAAAAAGCATAGTGTGCTCAAATTTGGGGATTTCCATGTGCTAGTGCTGCTCGTGGGTGCTCTGTACAGCTCAGGAGATCGTGTCCATCCCAGCGGCTGTGGCCCAAGTCTAAACTTAACCGTGATGGAGGGATGGAGATAGTTCCTTTATCTGATTGCAAATGAGGAAATACATTTCTTAAAATAATTAATGGTCCCCCAAGAGTATGTTTTTATTAGCATGTGTGTGTGTGTAAAAGCCTCCAGTCTATAAATACACAGTAGTTTCCTCCTCAGAATCAATAGGGAGAACGTCCCAGGTCTGCAGAAGTGTTTGTGTCCCACAGGATTTGTTTGCATCGAGAGGACATGACTGGGCAGGACTGTGCCGGGTCACGCCATGTGTCGGGAGCCCGGTGAAGCAGGATGGGAAGCCAAAGATCACATTTCACTGGAAAGTTTTCCTTTTTATTGCAGTTTCTCGGTGGGGATGGTTTCAAAACCCAACCAAGAGGTAGTTAAAAGAGCCCAGACCTAAAAATGCGCCTCGGACCCGACATCGGGTGGTGTTAACTGCCAGCTTGCTAGCGGTTTGCTGCGTTATCGTTAGGCTTGCGTTAATTGCAGGAGATGCAGTGGAGCAGGGAGAGGGGAGGTATGAAGTGGTGTGCGCTGCAGCCTGTCCAGCTCGGGCAGGGAACGTCTGCCTGTACTTGCCGCTGTTCCTGCCTGCTGGCTGCCGCACGCTTGGGTGTGTATAGGAGTCTGCTGCAGCAACATTAACCATTACCTTAGGGAAAGATAATTATTTGTGAAGAAATCATACCCTGTTAACGAGGAACCCTGCTTAACTGCTTTCATGCTGCTCTGAATGCTTGTTTGATCTTTGCTTCCCATGCTCCCAAACACAGCGAGTCCGGCTCCGCGGCAAGCATCCCTATCTCTGTGTCGGGATCAGGGACAACCCAGATTGTGGCAGATAATAATAAAAACCTCGAGTGTTTTTAGTCCCCGTCCTGTGCTTTAACCATCTATGGTATGGCGCAGGGGAGCAGGAGGGCACCAGCAGCTTTGCTCCGGGGGTTTCCCCAATGCTGGAAGAAGGCTGGAGCCTCCCAAAAAGCCTCCTGCTCCTCATCCTTGGGTGGGTTTTAAACCTGGCTCAGCTCCCCCGGCTCGGAGGCACGCACTGGTGTCTAAGCACTTCTCGTCTACTGGGCTGCTGTGGGCGTGCTGGTCTCTGGGAGGCTGCTGGCCCCGCAAGTTTGGCAGGAGGGGATTTTTTTCCTTGGGGAATGGGAGCTGTATTCTGGCAGCCAGCTCAGATATCGGCGAGGGCAGCCGCTACCCTGCTCCCTGTCCTCAGTCTGCAGCTCAACCGTGGGTAGCTGGTGGAGCTAAAATTGCAATGGGGAGCACTCAGGAGAAGGAAAAGGAGACGAGCCGGCATGGATGGGGTGCTGCGCAGCTGCCAGCGGTGCTACATTATGCTGCTGGGGGCCAGTACCGGCGTTGGGGATCTTGCTGTAAAACACTGGAGGCTTCAGCAGTGAGCAACCACCAGTGTTGCTTATTTTCCCCCTGTATTGCTGTTTCCATGTGATTTGGTCCTCACTTCCATGCATCTCTGTCCCCATCTGTTCCCTGTTACGTGCAGCCCTTTTCGGGGAGCATCCCCTCGCCTCGTGTTTGCTCAGAGCCTGGTGTAAGCAGCCATCCCTCCTGAACGGGACCTCTAGGTTTTACTGCATACCAATATATTTGATGCAAGGACTATCAAAATGCAGAAATACAAAACTCCCGTGGAGCTTATTAACGACTGTCCAGTGACATTTTCTGCTTGCTCCTGGAAAACAGCTTGATGTCCCCAAGCTGGCCCCAGCACAGGGCTGGGGGAGGCTCCTGAGCATAACCTTGGGGGTCCATGTGCTGTAACAGAGGTCTCTGAGCTGCTTCCAGCATCGCTGGGGAATTGCAGCCCCACGGTGATGGGGCACGTTGCTGTGTTAGTCAACTGGTCCTCCAGCCACCCCATCCTCCCTTACGTCGTGCTCTCCTCGCACGAATCTGGGCTATCCATAGTATAAATATGCCATCTGGGCTCGCCAATTTTGTGTGATTTTGATGGTTTGAAATGTTTTGCTTTTCTATTTGGCGCATTTCATTTGGTTATTGGGTTGCCCAGAGGTTTATGATGAAGCTACCAGTAAATTGTATATTATAAGCCCACTGATGTCCCATAAGAAGCTGGAGACTGTACCAGCTGCCCTTGGGAACAATAAATCTTTGGAAAATGTATTGATTACCAATCCTGGCTTTGCACTCTGGATGAACTTTGTCCTCAGAAAAGAATAGGTGATTTTTCTTTACCAGCCAGCTGGCCTTCAAATGAGCTACTCATAACACTATCGCAAACTCTAATCCAAGTAAACACGGAAAAGATGATTTACGAGTTGGGAAGAGAAGCCGTATCAGCTCGTAATGAGGTTTAATACTTAGTGGCATATTCTCAAACATTGTCCTTAAATATAGCAATTGAGTTTTGACTGCATGTTACAAGATCAGTGTTTTATGCTCTTTGGATCATGAAAATGGTGGTTTTGGTTATTTGCCTTAACTGCAAGGCAACAAAATAGCAAAAGAGGAGTCATTTGGGGAAAACACTGATTTCTATAACCAGATTTGAATTGCAATCTGTCTGCTTTTACACAGGAGTAAGTTTATCGGAGACAATGCCAGGAGGTGAGGCAGAGCTCATGGTCAGGTCTGTGCAGTGCTGTGTGAGCCTGGCTTGCAGTTCATTTTTTAAAATAAGCTCCTCATTGTGCAGCCTTTAGCTTTTGCTACCTAAAACTACCTAAGAAATAAGTAAGGATCCAGAGGCACGTTGTGGCCCTTAGGATTTCACGGCAGGGAGCTCTCTTCTTCCTTGCAGGCAACTCTTTGCCTTGTTTTTTTCCCCAAAGGGCTCTTCGTGGGTTGGGAATCGGGTAGTAACTGGGGTGGGATAGGGGCATCCAGGGGATTTCACAGCCTTAATGATGCTGGAGCGGCTTTTTCTGCTGGACATCTGCTCCCAGTTGGTCTGGGACCAAGGGCTTCTGCGAGATCAACCCTGGGGCTTTAACAAGCCCTTCTTTCAAAGCCTCAGTATCTTTGATATAGAGGATGTGAGTTCCCTTTTTCAAAGGGAGAATTCAGAAGAAACTTTGTTTGTTTGTTTATTTATTTGCCTGAAATACTTCTGTCCCTCTGCAGCGCCTTGTGTACCTTACGTGCTTCCAACAGCTCCTGTGAGCGCCTGTCCCGTGAAACTCCTCTGCGCTGATGGGCTACAGAGGAACACCAACAATATTTAAGAGCCTAAAATAAATAATCCCCTGGAGTAACCGCCGTTGGGGTGTTTTTCAGGCAGCGCTCTCCCCTTGCCCAGCACACCCACCCTCCATCCCACCGTCCCACCAGGCAAGTCCCTTAAAGCTGTTCCTCTCTCTCTGTGCGTGCAGGGAGTTTTGCCGCGGGGCCGAACCTTTCCCAGGGGAACATGGACTGAAAAAGGAGCTTCACCAGACCACGGCTGCTGGCGCCCTTCGCCTGGACCCTGATGGACTCCGAGGCAGGACTGCATTACCATGGTGATGATCTTAACCAAAACTCGGGAAAACAAAGGTGCTGACTCCGTAACATGCAGGACTGAGCTGGTAAGCTTTGTGAAATCTTTGTTCAAGACTCTTTTGCTGCCAAGAACTTTGCCACAGCTTTATAATAAGGGGGTTTTGTGCTGCAGGGCTGGATCTTTAGATGGTTTATAGCACCGATTTCTACTGAGCTGCATTAATATCCAAGGAACAGGTGATCAGTAAGTGATTGGAGTGCTGTGGCTTTTGCATATGTGAATTTCCGTAAGCGTGCAATGGAATAAACAGTAGAAAAAAATAAAATCAATGCCGTGAATAACACGGGTGAGAAGTTGCTTCACCAACAGCGAACAGATGCTCATCATTAATAGGAGGATGAGCAAGTGGGGAGCAGGATTAAGTGGGAGATGGCAAAGGGCAGTGCTGTGATACTTAACAGTCTCGCTGACAGCCTGGAGAGATGCAAATCCAACCACGCCAAATAAGCAGGGAATAAAAAAAAAAAAAAACCCAAATCAGGGGCAGCAAACAGATTAAATGATGCTGCAAGGGGTGAGCGAGGCTGTGGGGCTGAGCGTACCTATGGTAAAGGCAAATGAGGAGCAACGCGTTGTCTGGGCGCAGTGTCGGAGCAAGCAAGGGTGGGGAGCAGGGGCAGGAGGAGGAGGTGGGGGATGATGGAGAGCCGTCTGAGAAAGCCCAGAGCAAAGCTGGTCGTGGACGTTTGCTCCTCTGTCCTCCAGGAGAGATGGTTGTAGTCCAAGAAGAAATTAGACCGAAAGGCTATTCCTCGCAGGGTGTGCTGAGAGCCTCAGATAAGAGCGTGCAGGAACACAGCAGGAAGCATCTGGCAGGATTAACCATAAATGGGCTTTTTGAGCATAAAAGAAATATAAATGCCTAAGTTTGTTGAGGATGATGAACTGTCCAGCCGGGCTTCCCGGGCAGATAGTGCAGCGTGCCGGGGCGAAGGCAGGCTGCCCTGGCAGTGCATGGTGGAGGAGAAGGCAAGCAAGCCAGAGGCAGCATTAAATCCTGCCTTAAAAGGCTGAAATTTGAGAAGGAAGGATATTGATATATTAGAAGAATATCCTTGCTTTAGCGTTGGTTCCTGCCGGGAAGGCAGCATCTCCTGCGGCTGCTGCTGGGGATGGCAAGGGGGGAGCCCGAGCATCCAACACCGGCTGTGCCCCAGGAGGTGTGCGGGGCAGGTGGAGGGGAACTTGCTGCAGAGGAGCAGATGAGAAGTAGTTTCTTCTACTACTACGGGAAGGGATGGGCACTCAGGCTGTCCGATGGCAGGCAGTGGAGGTGCAGAGCCGTAACGCGAAACTTTGCCCTCGTGTGTTTGCCGAGTGCCTCCCGCAGCTCTGGGGTTGGGTCAAATAGTGCACCAACAGTTCTGGTTACACAGGTTGAATTGCCGGGTTGTCCGCGCTGTTAAATTGGGGCAGATATTCACAAGAAGACTGATCCATCAAAGAAAGGAAGAGTTTTTTTGTTGACTTCATGGGAAAGGCCAAAAAGCAAAACCTAAATAAGTGTCTGAGCAGTGGGACAGTATCACCTACCAACACCCCATGGGCTCGTTCGGTTCAGTTCCCAATTTGATGTTAAGGCAAAACTCTTACAAAATGGTAATTATACTCAGTATGGGACGTATGTCACCTAAAGGTGTTCCTCCCGTGCTTGCAGACAGTAGCTAGGCTCTGGGACTGGCACACAGATGGGTGCTGGCACAACCGCTGCCTTCTCTGGGGCTTGTCCTACTTCCATCCCTGCTGCACTTTGGCCACTCTTTGGAGACAGCTGCCTGTCCTCGCTGTCTTCTGATTAATTCTACCTGCCACTTCATAAGGTGGGGCTTGATAGATAGAAATAGCCTGACTTCACCTAGAGAAGTGGCACATGTTCCAAAGAAGGTGACTGACCATTATTTACCTTTTCCACTTCTGTATCCCATCGTTGTTTTCTGCCTCCACATCCCTCCGTGTTCAATATTGACAATATTCTGTGTACGAAGTGGGATCCTTTTGTTGGGTTGCTCTGTACAGGCAGGTGCCAGCATTTGGTACATTATTATTATTGTTATGTGAGCAGTCAATGTGTAAAACATGGATCAGGAGAGAAGATGTGAATGTGGTGGCCTAATGCCAGATGAAACGCAGCTATGACAGCGCAGATGAACGGGGAGGTCATGCTGGTGCTTCCTCAGATGACATAAAGCCTCGGTCAGATGGGATGGTGTTGCCAGGAAAGACACTTCAGAAGCAGAATGTGGATATTTTGGGAGATAATAAAAGAACAATTAGTATGAAAGTGTGTTTTTTCAAACATAGCTGAAATGGCATGTAGCTGCAGATGACGTATTGATTTATTATATATAAAACTGTCCATGCCCATTTTTAGAAATCTGATGATGTCTCTTACACCGTCAAGAGGAAAATTCTTGGAAAAAAAAGAGTGTAAAAAGCAACAGGGATTATTTTGTACTCATATAGTGGCGTTTTTCCCTACTTTTAGTGCAAATCAGCACAATCCGAACGCAGTCTCCCCAGAAGTGCTGGGGTGAGGGTGCCTTGCCTTAGAAACATACTGTGTGTTTAAAATTACCCCAACTAATAGCCACTTTGTACCTAGACGGGAGGCCGTAGCAGGCTTGGATGGGGTTCAGATACCACTGCTGCTGTTTCTTGCCCAGTCCAGAATTCCTGTTGAATTGCTGCTCCCAGTTTAGTTTCTCCGGTGTTTTGGGTCCGGGGGCTGGGGACCTCGCTGCAGCTATTCCCGTGGGTAAGGACTAGCTGCAGGGCCCATGATGTGCAAGCTCGAGCCTCGACCCCGACTCTCCGCAGCGTTTAATTAAGTTTGATTCCATTGAGGGAAGGTGGCTGGGTCTGTCCCCCAGTCCCTGCCAAAACGGGACCGTCACGGGCATCCGAGGTTCTCCTCCCTGCTGGGTGCTGTGTGGCTTTGCCGAGGCTGGAGGCAGGGTGGTTGCTGGTGCCCCGTTCAAGTCTGCGAGAAGTGAATAGTTTTTTCTGGTTGTTTGCAGCACACTCCAAAGATGAGTCAAGGACCTACCCTCTTCTCTTGTGGCGTGATGGGTAAGTAACAGAAACTTCTGTCCGTATTTACTCCCGCTTCCTTATAGTGAAGGGTGGGAAGACGTCCTGACTAGCTGGATCTCTCCAAAAAATGCTCCCCTGCAGACCCCAGGGTGGGCGTCCACCCATCTGCCCCACACAGCGGGGATGGAGGGTCACCCTCCCCACCACCCACTAGTGATGGCCATCACGCCCATGCCACCCTCCATCCTAGAGGTGCTTGTCCTGCCCTGTTGCCATTGCTGAGTGAATTGCTCATCTCCTTTTCCCCGGCTTTGATATATCTGCTTATTTTTAGAGTAACTCGTATAGTCGAGATTATAAGCATTTTGGGTCTGAGATTGTGTTTGCGTATCCAGCCCATGACCATGGCTCTTGACTGGTTTGCACGATGCAAGTAATAAATATCAGTGTTATCATTAAAATGTTCTACCACTGGGCACAAAGTGTTTGGACAGGCCTCAAGCAATAAGGAAAATGTCTTATTTTTGCCTTTGACAATAGCCACGGTACCGGATATTTAATACCTTTTATGTCAGAGCTTGCTATCAATTTTTATGCTGAACAGCCACCAAAATTGATAGGGGATTGGTGCCTTGGCCAATGATCCTGAAAAATTGATAGTGCTGGAAGATATGCTGTTATATTGTGGTCTTTGGGTTTTGTAGGGGGGAGCCAGTCACTAGGCGAAGTCTCAAAACCCAATTAAAATTGTAGGTCAAGTTTGAGCCAAGCTACTTGCTATAAAAGCCAATACTTTACAGACAAAGAGGCTGCCCCTTTTCTTCATGGACACAACTCTCATTAGCGTTAATGGGAGCCGAGCACATGCATTGACAGGAGATATTTCCCAAGCTCTCTGATAACTCCAGTCATTGGGGGAGGCGGGGGAAGATGGAAAGCATTTGAATTTTTTCAGATGAAAGTCATAAGCTTCAAAGTCAAGAAGGGGTAGAGACAGCCCGTTCCCTTTCTCCTGCCTGTCAAACATAAGTGAGGAACAAAGAAACCTAATCAGATGGTTTTGTCTTGCACTGTGGCACTGGCAGGCTCTTCAACAGATATGAAGAGTCTACGCCTAATTGAAAAGCAGCTTATCTTTAAGAGCTTTTACAAAGCCTTCTGTGTCTTTGTAGCACTGCGCTGGTCTTACTTGGCTGCCAAATTATCCTATTTCCGAGGGAACCGAATATTACCTCCTTGACCACAGCTTGCCATGTAATGGTCTTCGGCATGCCCAGTCGAGAGGAGCCAGTCTTTCCAGCGCGCAAGGGCATCAGTTGGCTTGGGTTTAATTTAAGCCATCTTTCCCAAATGTTCTTCTTGATGTCTCCAAATGTGGGCCACTGTCACAGACCAATCCAGTGTTAAAATTGGCTTGACGATTTGAATAAGTCCCATGGTTATAATGGCACCAAATGTGAAACTGGGGGAATATTTCAGGTCAAAGGGCCAAGTCCCTATCAGTGGAAAGTGCTGAGATAAATAAACACAGTGAAGTTTGGACTGGCAGCGCAGCAAACAGGAGGCAAAGACTTATAGTCCCACGTAGGATGTTGGGGCGATGGAGGGAAGTTGGCTGCGTTTTCTGGAGTTTCAGCCAGAAAAGGCTGAGGGTCTTAGCACAGGGTCTTCCCGGTTGCCTTTGGAAGCAAGGGCAGCTTTGGGCAGGAACGCAGCTCGTGGCTGGTCCCAGTGGCCGTGGGACAACGGGGCAGAGGGAAGCCCAGCCTCAGCCAGGCTGCCAGGGAGAGCATCATCCAAACCCTGGAGTTTCCCATAAGCATCAGCTCAGGAGCGTTTATCTCCAGGGAGGAGATTGAAGAAGTTGGGTCAAAGCTCCAAGGGGTGCGTAATGCACCATGACCAAGAAACCCAGCCAGCCCAAGATGGCAAGGCTGTGTTCCTATTTACCTGTGGCATAATGTGGGGAAAAAGAGTAAACTGAAGCCCACACACCTTAGATGTAGATACGTTGTAAGGTACTAAACACCAGAAGAATCCAAAAATGGATTATAGATTGTAATATAACTCAATATATGAGTAAACATTATTAAAGACTTGCTATTTTGGATGATGTAATGCTAGATCTGCTTCTCAAGGTGATCTAAATAATCTTTTGATTTTTAGATTATAAAAAGTACTCTTGCCAGTGTGATGATAATATTACTAAAAAGATTGGGTTTTATCTTTATATAGCCCGTTGCTGTGAGGAAGATTAAAGGTGAAATGCCTAAAACTATAAATTCAACAATTGCTTTTTTCCTTTCTCCTTGATGGGTCCTTGAAAGACCTGGGAGTATAAGAATTGTCCTGTTGTTGGATAGGTGTTTTTTCTCCTTTTTTCCCTTTCCTTCCCGTGCAGTGTCCACCACACGTCCCCAGTGAAAATACCAGTGACTGTGCTAGAGAAAGAAGGTGGCATGATAGAAAGTTGGGGCATTACTTTTGACTTCCTATACTGAAATTTTTCTGTCTTTGGGTGGACGGCAGAGGAAAATTTCCAATATTTTAACAAGGCGTTGGCAGCATCGCCTAACCTTTCCCTAGAAGATGTATAAGCAGCACTCAACGTCTAAATCGGTAGCGCCGGAGTCTGCCCTGGTCCAGCTTTCTAAGAGAAGCTCAGCGGGCACATGCCAACAGCCATGTCCTTGTGTTTTCTGTGTAAGCAAGAACTTATCTTTGAGGCAAGCTGCAGGCAGGGTTTTATTGAGGCTGTGACAAGGCACTTGTGAGTGCAGTTGCCCCGGCTGCAGGATCAGAGTCCTGGCGCGGTGGGTGTTGCATGCACAGCCCTGCTTGTAAAAGAGGAGGAGGAGGATGGGTTTGAGCCCATCAGGGACGGATCCTGCGTACATCCTCTGTGAAACGCTCTTTTAGAAGTCACCGTCGTTTGCTCTTCCCCTTGGAAAGCACCCCCAGAATTTGTCCTCGTAGGGGGCTGCGGCAGAGCGGGGTGACGGACGAAGCGCGCGGTGAGCTCATCTGTCCTTCGGCACGCTCCGCCGCCGGCGCGGTTTGGCAACGCCACCGGTCCGAGAGGCGAGCGTGCCGGGGGGGGGTTGCAGCCTTGGGTCTCGTCGTTGCACATGAAGCGGCTTTTCACCCGGCGTGGGTGACGGAGGAAAGCCAAGAAGCCAGAAGAAAGGCCAGCCCATGGGGGGTGATGCCCCTCAATCGCATCCCAAGAGCGCCCGTAGGGCTCGCACGCCTCCTCTTCCTGAACCGGGATTTCCTGGGATTTCGGGGGTTTTTTTTGGAAAGGCTATCAGCGTAGAGCAGCACCTCGGTGCGTCTTCAAGCACGGTCAACCCGCAAAGAGAAAAAGCCACGTGGGGAAAGCTGGCGAGGCGTAGCTGGAGCGGGGAGACCTCGCCAGAGGATCGCATTGAAGAGCAGGGCACGTTTTGCCGTCGAGTTGGGGAATTTCCCTCCCCTGTGCAGGCTGTTGGCACGAGGAGCCCGCAGCCCACTGGTGTGTTTATTCTCCGGCGGTAGGTTTGGGGGCCGTTGTTTTCATTTCCCATTGAAGCACAGCTCCACGCATCGTATTTTAATCTTATTTCTGCAACAGGAAGGCTCTGCGGTACTGCCATCAACTAATTACAAGCATTAAATTTGTTCCACATTTAGAAATCATCTCTCGAACATAAACAGGGGACAGTGGAAAATGCAGGCTGCCTTTTCCCCTGTGCACGGGGACCAGGGGACCGAAATTCGACTCGAACAACATGTGAAAAAAGGGAATTGGATGTGCACCTGTGTGAAGAGAAATGTTTGGGTTACGATCCAAACAGAATTTATCTGCCAAAAAGGAGAAGAAAAATTGATTGAAACCCGTAATTGCTTTACAAGTTGCCGTAATAAATTATGTATTAATGTAAATTATTTCATGGGAAAAGAACGTAGAGGAAACTTGAGCAGAAGGATCATGCATTATGTATAAAAAGGAACTGTAAAAATATTATAGCAGCACATTTGTGCTGCTGTAGTTAAAGTTGTGTCAGCGTTTTGGTTTTACACCCTTCTCTATGGTTATGAATGTGGTCATTAAAATTTACTCTGTGTCACCAGAGGAGCACGGCAGTCGTTTAAAAAGCCCGTGGCCGTCCCAAAGCTGCCAGGTGCCTGGCTTGTCCGTGCGCTGCTCCTGCAAAACCTGGAGCTCAGCAGTTGGAAACCCGGCTGTGATGCTCTGAGGATGGATCCCATTCTCCGTGGGGCTGTGCAAAGCTCTTGGGGATGTTTGGAGGACAACACCCATCTCCTCGGTTTTGGGACGTGACTTCAGCCCACGAGTGCTTCATGCCCTGGACCACCAGGCTGGTTTGACGCGGTGAAGGTTGCACAGGAGAACAGACGGATGTTGTTAAGGGTTCATGGTCACTCTTAAAAGTGAATGTCTTGGTTTTGCCCAAAAGGAAATTTAGGAATAGATAGTGGTGCCGATAGTGTTTGCGCATGCTATCGACGATCCCGGGGGCAGGTTGAGCTGTGCTTGCGTGCAGGTGGCTTCTGGCTTGTCTCTGAAAATAGGAGAGGGAGGAATATAAACCAGGTGAGGACGGCCCGGCAGCCAGAGCGTGGGATGTGCCAGGGCTTGCTGGGGCTTGTTGCCACTTGCCCAGCCTGACGAGCCCTGCTGGCGCGCGGTGGCGAGGCACTAGCCTCCAGATGCTGCGGCTTGCAGCGACAGCCGCTCTTCGCCCACACCCCAAATTCTGTGGCTGTTGGACACACAACATCTCCCTCCCGGAGCGTCCCTGGCAGGGCTGCTCTCCCCAGCCCCGGGGTCAACGGCTCTGCCACCAAATTCTTCCCGAGGCCGGGCAGGGCAGTGGGAAGACATCCACGTTCGGGGGGGTGACGTGGGAGCGAGGCCTCAGATCGCTCTTTCCAGGGCTGGATCAGAGCTAAGTATCGCAGCCTTGCTTCGGAAAGCAGAAATAGTTTGGGTTTGGGTCCCCCCGAGGCTGGGCAGCCTGGGAGCTTGCAGCTGTAACCTGAATTTCTTGCTGCTTCGTGCGTGGTTTGCAGGAGGGCTCAAGCTCTTCTGCCGGGGCCAGAGAGGGCAGGATGAGAAATTCAGTCCTCCCCAGGCTGCCACTAACAACCCTCTGTGTCTTCGGAGCTGCAAAGCTATTTCACAACCAAAGAGATGCCAGAAAATTCACTTTATGTTGCCTCACCCTGGAAATACAGATTTGCAGATCAAAACCTCTCGAAAGAACTTCGCTGGACGTGCTCATTAAGTGACTTGAAGTGTTTATTTTTGCAGTGTTAAGTTAAAATCCAAAAGTAAGATGCTATTTCATCCAAGGACAGTAACAGCCAAGAAGGACCTGTTTAACCAGGGGAAGAGCCCCTCGTGCCACGCTTACATCATGCTCTGGTTGTAAATGTTCTCCTATCATTTTTCCAATAGGCAAAGGAGAGTTTTCCAGCGAAGCAGCTCACTTGTGAATCGAGAGATGGGTTTTATCCTGGAACAAATTACTGCCTCCGGGTAAACCAGGCTGAGGTTTGTAATTTAAGAAAATTAATACATGCTTAACTGCAGCAGTATTAATGGCTCCACTGCAATTATCGTTATCAGCGTGCTCAGGATGTGAATCTTAGCCTTAAAAAATTGAACAGAAAACCAGCCGCTTTTCCTCGATAAGGCTTTCCTGAGTTCTTTAATTACACCCTCAGCCCTTAGACTACCCCATTTTCAATTTGTTTTGGGGCAAACAGTTTTCTGTTTGCACTGAAAAATCATTTTCTGGGTTATCCGGTAGTTTGGGACCGGTCGGCAGTGCTTGGAGGTTTGGGGAGGGCAGGCTGTGCGAGGGTCTCCTCCCTGCCCTGCCAAAAAACCAGCTCTCACGGTGCAAGGGGAAAAGCAAATAACCCCAAGCTGGTGCTGGGGATAACGGTGCAATTACCGTTTTCTTTGCAAGGTTTGGAAGATTTATAGCTGTTTGTACCGAAGCAGGGGTGAAAGAGGAAGGTGTCCCGTATCCTCCTCACCAAGGCCTTTTGTACAGCGTGACGTCTCCGGCCAGAGGATCATGGCAGCTTGCCATGAAAAATCAGCTTCTATTTCTGTTTCTTTTGTCTGCTGACCTGACCCAAGAAATCTCTCTGCTGGCAGCATAATACAGGGGGAAAATAATAAAGATCTAAACATAGATGTAGTTGTTTAGCGCAGATTTCTCACTTTTCATTGTGTTTATTAAAGTGAGGACAGCAACAGTTAAAATGCCGTGCAGTTATCGAGGGCAGAGCCAGGCTCTTTGTGGCTAGAGCTGTTATGGCGGCAGCTGGATGCAGGGAGAAATGGGAAAACTGGCCAGGAGTGGTGTCAGGGGCCCCAAATCTGACCTGAAACCGAGCCTTGGTCGGAACAAGCGTTCTGCACTGTTGCCTCTTCCCTATCAGGCTGGTACCTACAGCTGCGGGCTGGATACAGCTTTTAACTCATCCTTCAGTTGCCTGAGTGGAAAAACCCCAAAACCCCTAAAAAATATTGCACGATTTAGATACCATCATACGAAACTTGGCAGCGACGGTTAGCTAGCACGGTTTGCCTCTGTTTGCAGCAGCCGCCGACGAAAACAGTCACCAGAGAAGGTCTGTTGGGTGATTACTTTTTTCCATTGCAGCAGCCGATGGGGTTGTCCTACCATGGTTTTCCTGTTGAGCGTCAACGGCAGAGAGCCCTGCGCAGCCTGTGCCGGGGAGCCAGACCTTGATGATACTTTGCTTTCTTCTTTGATTGTCAGCGGGACCGTGTGTGGGAATGAGATCATCACCCTTAATCCTCTCTTTCGACACGGTCATCAGTGGGATTTCTGAACACAGCTGTAGCCGGGTTTGCAGTCTGCCTACGTGGAGCTGCCCGTAGCCAGATACGTTTCAGCCCACGGACTTTGGAGGTGCGGGTTTCTCGGAGCTTTATGCAGGCACCGCAAAACCCATCTGATCAAAGGACTATCTTTATGCCGATCCCAAGACCGTGCAACAGGTCACCACTGTCTTTTGCTGTGCTGTGTTGGAAGACTGTTAATGCAAGCTAAATTTGCAGGAGGAACAAATTCCCGTCTAAACAAGCTGAATGAAAGAGAGAGGGAGAAAAAAAAGTGTGGGTGTTTTTTTTTTAAGTGAACCTATTAAGCGATTTGTCCTTTAAATAAATGCTTCAGCATTACGTTTGTTACAGAAATGCAAACAATTGGCTGTGCTAGGTACAACTGGGATTTTCAAGGCAACCCCAAAGAGATGCTAAGCCCAGGTTGCTGCAGAAGAGTAGGAGGGTGTGGGTACCTGATTCCCATAGCACCTTCCCTCTCTGTGCGGGTAACCGGGCAGGGGGGCACCTGGTCCGGAGCACCCAGGTGACCCCAGATTTGGGGGACGGAGGGGAGATGGATGATGAGCCTCACAAGAGGGACCTTGCAAAGAACTGCCAGAGGTTTATCGTGTATCTTTTGTAGCATCAGCCATCTTAGAGCTTATTATATGACTTTTGTTAGACACGGTATCTTTGGGTCGGTTTGGGAGAGATGCTCAGAGCATCAGTGGGGATAAGGTGGTTTCCTTGGATCAAGGCTGTTTTAGCAGCGGCTGAGAGCAGGACAGCCTGATGGGTGTCGGGATGGCTTTTGCTTTCCTGTAAGCTCTGATGACCCTGTTGGGATTTCTGTGCTACGACCGGCAGCTGGATGCCTGGGCGGCACTCCCCTTTCTGTTAGGACCATCCCAACTGCTATCCCATCTCCTTTCTGGGGTTTTGTCCCCTGAGGTCCGTCTTGCCCCAGCGGTGCTACAGCTTTGTGCTTTTCACCTCCGGTTTTTGTGAACCTCTTGGGCAGTTACTGATTGTGGAAGCCGGGACAAACAGCACACATCTGAGACATGGTTTAGCACAGAGATAAGGCAATGGCCATACTATTTTATATTGCTGACTTTCCCTTAGCTAGTGCAGTCTGGACATTCAAAGACATGTTTTTATCTTCTTCGAGCAGTTTTGCTCCTGCTGCGATTATCGCTTTGTCTCTCTCTCCATCTACACTGCAGCAACCGCTCTGCTGGCAGTTTGGAAAACCATATTCCAAGAGTTAATTAATTTGTACTGGAAAACGTCCCATATGCTACTTTTTTTGTTTATGGACGTAGAAAGCGAATCACAGAATTAATTAACGCTAATGCCTGTGCGTGTGTGGTTTGTTGTTTTTTGTTTTTTTTTTTCTCCTTTCTGAACCAGAAAATGACAGATGGAGAGATCTCAGCAGGAAATGTCCACTTCAGCTCGAGCAGCCGGGCACCAGCATCTGGGACTGCTTGTCGGACAAGGGCGAGGAGGGCTCGCGCTGGCCGAGGGAGACGGCCAGCACCTGCTCCGTCACCAACCTGATCAAAGACCTCAGCCTCAGCGACCCCCACGGCAACCCCTCGGCCCCCCCCAGCAAGCGCCAGTGCCGCTCGCTCTCGTTTTCGGATGAAATGTCCAGCTGCGGGACCTCGTGGAGACCCTTAGGCTCGAAGGTTTGGACCCCGGTCGAGAAACGGCGGTGTTACAGCGGCGGGAGCGTGCAACGCTACTCCAACGGCTTCGCCACCATGCAGAGGAGCTCCAGCTTCAGCCTGCCCTCGCGATCCAACCCCCTCTCCTGCGAGCATCCCGTCCTCGGCGGCCGGCTGGGATGCCAGCCGAGGAAATCGGCCACCGGCGGGCACGGAGGAGACCGGGTAGACATGCAGAGGTCCCTCTCCTGCTCCCACGACCGCTTCTCCTCCTCGGAATACTGCCCGCCCTCGGCAAGCAGCACGCCAGCCTCCACGCCGGAGCTGGGGCGACGGGCCGGCGGGCTCTCCCGAAGCCGTTCGCAACCCTGCGTCCTGAACGACAAAAAAGTCGGGGTCAAGCGACGGAGACCGGAGGAGGTTCAGGAGCAACGGCCCTCGCTGGATCTCGCCAAGATGACCCAGGTAAGAGGCGGCGGTGCCGTCCCTGTGAGGGGCTCAGCAAGCGAGGCGATGCTGTTCTCTTGCTTTGCTAAAAATCTTTTAGCACCCTCCCGAGGCGGGTCTGCGGCACGCAGAGTGAGGCGGGTGTTACGGGGAAGGGCGTCCTTCTGTCCGAGCGGAAAACCCCTTCCCCTCCAAATGGATCTCTTTAATAAATTCCCGCATTTCTGTTCTGCGCTGGTTTTTGCGCGCCAAGTCCACCGTGTCGTTGTTTCCTCCTGGCACACGTTTCAAGCAGGAATATGTTAAACCCCACATTTTTGAGTTCAGGAGAGAGGAGCCCCAGGCCTGCTGTGGTGAGGTGAAGGCAGCACCCCGAGGCATCTAGCCCTGGCTCCGTCAGGAGCCGAATTCGTACCGCTATGGGCTTTACTTGCTCTTAGCCTCTGTAATTTTCCACTCTGGAGATGTTATCGTGTTTCATTTTCAGTTGCAAACACAGAGCACAACCTCCCTCTTCAATCTGCCGCGCAAAGCCAGATAACAGATCTGAAGTGCGAATCGGGGAGGATTTTGCTCCCGGGTCCTCTCCCTGCAAGACCAAGTGACTGGATTTTAGCGAGAACCGAAGCGAGAGGCTGCAGCGAAGGGCAGCGCAAGCAGCGTTTCCATTTCGCGCTCATCAAATTTCTTTTTCTGCCGTTTTGTGATTTGACATTTCCCACCTCGATCATTTGCGGTTGTAAAGTCGATGACACCACCAGCCCTGCGTGGGGTGGAGATGGCGGTGGGTCTGTGAAGACCCCAGGGTGGGCTGTCACCTTCTGCCGGCCACAAAACTTCCCCCGTGCTTTCGGTTCGATGCAGCCGTCTGCTGTGCTTCATCCCAGAGGCAACCATGTCGGGAGCATCTGCCCTGGGTTTTTTTTTGTACAGCCACGGCCGGCAAAGCCTGCCTGGTGTGAGGCATCTCCTTGTTACAGGAATGCAAGATTTTATGGCGTTTCATGCTTGGCAGTGCAGAGGGTGTTTGAAGGAGTGCAGTGGTGTTGGAGGAAAAGACTGGCTTTTCCTCCGGACGAGGAGCTTTGAGGATAAAAAGGGTGAGGGAATCACATATTTGGGTGATTGCAGGGGAAAAACGCGAGGCATTGCTCTCATCTTTTGATAAACCACACGAGCAACGTTTAATATGCTAAGCTTATTTTATTAGCTAATAAACTGGACAGGCAGTAAAAACAACTTACGTGTGTTATTATATTTTACTAGCCGCAAGTTGGAATAGCACAATTGCCCCCTGCTAATTCTCTCTGTACAAGAGCCGCTGGTTGCTTCACCTTGACGTACGGCGCAGGATGTCCCGCAAGCCCGTGCGGGAGTTTCCCAGCAAACCAAAGCCTGCAAAAGACCCAAATCACCTCAAAACCAGTGGCGGGGAGGGCAAGGCTTCCCCTTCACCGCCTTCCCACCCCTGCCTGGAGCCCGCAGACATGGAGCCCCACGAGCTGCCGCCGCGGGGGGGGATGAAGCCGACTGTCCCCAAATCGCTGTCCCCAAATCGATAGCCGCGTCCCCCCAGCTCGCTCAGAAAGCGGCTTCACCGCTTGTTCCCAGGCATCTCCTCACTTTAAAACGAGCACGTTAAAGCTGCCTTTGCCACTGCGTGCTGACGACCACAGCTTTTCTCAAGGTTCCATTAATAACCCACCGGCGTGGGAGGTCACGGACGGGCTGTGGACCAGGCTGAAAGCCCACGGTGCAAAACAGCTGGGGAAAGAGGGAGAAGGATGCGGCCCCGAGTGCAAGCACCAGGGCTGGGAAATGGGCTGCTCCTCTTTCTGCGTGCCCAGCAGAAAGAAATCCTTTCTCAGCCACATTTCCTCCTCCGATGGCGCTTTCTGGGGCTGTATTTGAAAACGCAGAGCGTAACTGGCATTTACACTTTGCGTGGGGGTTTGCATACACACGCGGGCGTGTGTGCAAAGGTTGATGAGGAGCCGTGTGAAGGGTGATGTTGGCATATCACGGGGTTTTGTTGCATCTGGGCAATTTGGCGTGGAAACATGATAGGAGCACATGTGGCCACGTGGGTGCACAGGTAACTAAATCCCATGCAATATCTGCTCACACAGAGCTGCTTGTGCCCGTGCCAGCGAGCACTTCGGTTCAGTTGCCTACTGGGGTGTCTGCTTGCCACGACCAGTGGTTTGGTCTTGCAAGGCTGAACGTGCTCGTCGTATCCGGACAAGCTGCTCAGCACCTCAGGAGGAGGCAGAGGTGATCATCGAGACCTTTTGGGATGAGACCAAAATGTTGAATGAGTTGCAAAGCCTCAGTATGATGCACGTGGGCTCCAGCTGCATCTGCTGGAGTGCTCACGGCTGAACAAAGGGAAGAGATCAAAGGGACGGGACTATTTTTATTCGCCTGGCTATTCTGAGAGCCTGCACGATGGTTACCGTCTCCAAGCGGTGCTTGCACCGTGGTAAGAGAAGCATTTTGGAAGCTCTGGGAGGGCAGAGCAGAAGTCATCTGCTCTTCTTTGCTCGTCGCTTCGTGCTGGGCCAGGTCGCAGGGGCACCAAAGGAGAGCAAGGAGGAGCGGGGAGCAATCTTCCCAAGGTAGCAGCCGTGGCAGGCTCCGAGGCTTTGAACCCTCATTAAAAGAATTAATGAGTTTATCTTTGCAAATGCCAATGAAGCCTTTTTTTTTTTCCTTTTTTTTCCAAAGGCTCCTTGTGGTTTTCTGCTCTTTAATTGCCAGCCTTTGCAAACAAAGGGCACGGAGGTGGTGTGGCTGGTAGGGCAGACCCCCAAATGGATCCCGCTGGCAGGGATGCTGCCCCGGCGTGGTGCCGAGTGGATGGGGCATCGCATCCAGCTGATTTTGCTGCTGGTGCTCCGCTCTGCAGACTTTGGGGAATAAAAGGCTTGCACCGGGGCCTGGAAAGCCTCTTTCTGTAGCTCTTTGTCCAGCCTTGGGAGCCCATGGATGGTCCTTCCTGGCTCCCTTGTGCCCATCGGGGGTTTAGCACCGGCTGTAGCTCATCTCAAGCCCTTCCAGGTCTCTGCCGAGGTTTGCGTGAGGCTTCACAGGCATGGCATGGCTGCGTGCTTGGCTCGGTCCCTTCTCCAAGGAGCTGAACTGCAGGCTGGGATCGCATCCCGCGCCTCTTAACCCACCTCTTGGGGCTGGTCTTGGCCCTGGAGAAACACAGAGTCTAAACAAAAGCAACCCTGGCAGCCAAGTTCCCACACTGGTTCCTGCGTTGGACGGCTTCTCCATCCCATGTCCTCATGGCAGGGACCCTGCGGGGGACGGGGGTGTCCCCAAGCATGGGTGGAGGATGTGGCTAAACGATCTAACAAATCTCAGCATCTGGCTGTTGGACTTCTGTGTTGGACTCGTGTATTAGGGGCTAATACAAGGGTAAAGAAGGACCGACAGAAACCCACCTAAGACCCAGCTTCAGGAGGATGAAGGCGCAGCGAGACTTGGCAGGTTGCCCTCTTTGAGCATCCTTGGGGAGCCCAAAAGCCTTGGATCCTGCCTGGAAACTGCTCCGGACCACCTGCCCTCAGCAGCCTCGGGGTGTCATCTCTTCCCCCCCAAATCCCTAACCATTTGCAAGCCATTCTTAAATCCTGCTCGCTTAATCTGAAGTGAGCTTCCAAATTTTCAGCTGTCAGTGGAAACGTGGAAGAGAAGCAGTAAATGGAAATGGGCTGAGAAGCGACGACAGCACGAACGAATGCTTGCAGTAACAAACTAGCCAGGATGCTACAAGCGGCAGCGTGTCACCAGACCAGACGTGTTTGGTAATCGGATTTTTGGAAGAAGGGCTGCGCGGCAGGAGCTGTTCGGCAGGAGAGAGATGCAACCCTCCTGTCCGTGCACCGCCTCCGGGAAGGTGCCTGCAGGTACTTTTTGTGCTGATGTAGAAGGCTCACGCGGTGGATAGGGAAGGAGGAGAGTGTCCAGGCTTTGGTTTCCATCTTTTGGGAGGAAAAAGTCTGATGGGTGGCACAGAGCGGCGGCGATGGGTGAGGAGCTGTACATGGTGCGGTCCTCAACTCCTTCCTCAGTGCATCCCGGCCCCGTGGGGGACAGGAGACATGACGAGGAGGCAGCGGGACCTCGAGGCTTGAAGCAGAGCTCACAGCTGGGCTGGATCGGTGTTTTCCAGCAGCTCTGTCCTTCAGCTGCTCCCTTGAGACTCCAGTGAGGCTCTCAGAGGACATGGATGGATACCTTCACCCTGAGATGAGACACACACGTTTCCCTTGCAGTAGATGTGCCTGAAATTGCTGGCTTACAGCTACAGAGTTAACTAAGTTAATTATCCCAGCGGGCCCAACTGAGCGCTTCAGCAGTTAGGCTAAACCTATTCAATAAGCTTTGCAAAACTCAACTGTATCAGATGGCAAATCTGACCAAAATATTTCGCCAGCTGGGATTTTTGGGGCAGCTGTGAACTGCTGGCTTTGCCTGCACGGTGCTGAAGCCTGGCAGCGGCACCGACCTTCCTCGCCCTCTGAGGATGCTGTGGGGCAAAGCCAGCTTCTCCATCGCATCAGACCAAGGGGGAAGGTTTGTCGGCTGGGAAGCAAAGGGCTGGGTCAGGGAGATCCCAGGGGGTCAGCGGGAGCTTCCCTTTCCCTCTGGTGGATGCTGAGCCCAGGCATACATTTGTAATTTGGGTAGCCGTGGCTTTGGCAAGGGCAGGTGACCCAAAGATGACAAAAATCTAATCACTTGTACGTCCGAAAGCAGCTCTCTCCATGTTCCTGGAAAACCTTCAGCTTGAGGAATAGTTGTGTTTTCTCTGGCTACCGTCCTCCCCATCCAAAAATCCTCCAAAGTGAGAAAGCAACGCCTGAGCACCCTGCGTTACTCAGCTACCCTCGAGCATGAGTTTAGAGAAAAAATAGTTGTCGGGGTGGTTCATCCTCTGCAAGAACCGATACCATAGAGAAAGGGTCCCGAAGCCCCATGCTGCGAGGCTTTCCCACGGGGAAGGG